AAGGCACATGCTAGCATTGGAGATGTTGAGGGGTGCGGATTTGAATAAAAAAAAAAAACAGCAATGTCTGCAAGTGTAGCTCCGCTTGATTATCACCTCAACTAATATTTTTTTCTCTACCTCCCCCATACACAATCATATGAATTTTTCACAGGGCATGCTTACCCTAATCAGGCAACTTCAAGGGCTACATTTAATTACTTCTAACCTTGGTTAATTTAATGTTAAAACTCCCTGGGCATTAAATTGTGAACTCAGCCAACTTAGTTCAGTTATGGTCCAATATATAGGAGTGTCCCCCAAAATAAGTTAATCCAGGAAAAGGTTAGTTGATGCATTTCTTTATTTGAATTTATTATGTCCCGGTAGCTATGAGGAAAAGCTAAATAACTCTGGACTTGGAAGTAACTGGAATCAAGCCTTTTAAACTGTTCTGGTGCTTTAAAGGCAATGGGATTTTGGTATCTTAGACACTATCTACTTCTACTACTTTTTGGCTACATAAACACAACCAACAATGGAATTAATTTATGGTATGTGAGTATGTGAACCCTAAGTTAACCAATCCTGAAAGGCAGGACTTAAAAATAAACGAACACTATTACGCATAAAACTAACCAAAGCGAATCCTAGGAAACCCCCTATCCTATTTAATTTAATATGCTGATGCAGCTGATGTCAGGCCTTTAGCTGCCTTAGAGAAACAGGAGGGCCTCGCTAGTTACCCGCCACATATTCATTTTTTGGAGCGGTCTCGCAGCGTTGAGCAAAGAACCGGGACCGGGGAGTTCGTCTTTTAACTTAAGCTGGTATGGAAGGTCCGAAATCGGCGACGAGGCTTTTCCAGTCCCCGAGCCAGGCTTCTAGCCGTCGGATGTTCAGCTTCGGTGCAAAAGGAGCGGGCGGGGGCGCGGGGACTTTCCTTAGGTGTTGCTTCTTAGCCGCCTGCTGCGGCTCCTCCGACCGGCCGACTGTGGAATAAATGGCGTTGGGAATTGAAGCGGGGTCGGGCGTTGCAGGGAAGCTCTCCGGAAGAAAAAGTGAGGCCGCAGGGGGAGATGAGGGGGCCTCTCTGGCGCAGGAGGACCGAGCGCAACTGGGCTAACCCGCCACTGAGATTTCTGAGCGTTTGTGAGAGTGAGGGTAGGACTTGAATCTGGACTTCCAAGCTCCCTTCACTAGGCCGCTCTGCCCGCGAAGGCAGGCCCTGTGTTCCGCTGGGCCCATAAAAACCTCCGAGCCTGAGCTGCGAAGCGTGAGGGAAGGAAATGGACGATCTTGCTCCAGGCTAACTAGGGAAGGAGGCCCCTTCCGAAGTATAATTATCTGAAATAATCAGAGGGAATGGGATCAGTTAAAAAAGAAACCCATTAAGATCGAATGACAAGGTTCATTTCAGTATTTCTCCACAGATTCCCTGCTATTGGATGGTGACCATGAGGGGCAAAAGGGGTGAAGGAAAAAAGGTGCCAACTAGAGGCCCTAGTCCATTCCCTGTAGAAGGGCAAGAAGCCCACAGCAAACAATACCAGCAGGACAGTTTTGGTCTTCGGTACTCATCTGTATCTCAGCTCCCTTTAGAATAGAATAGAATAGAATAGAATAGAATAGAATAGAATAGAATAGAATTCTTTAATGGCCAAGTGTGATTGGATACAC